AGACACGACAGGAATGAGTGTCAGCTGGAGTGCTACTATGTGGAGCAGCATGAGGAAAAATCCATCACAATTCAATCTGAAGCTGCAACATTCCTGCCTTTCCAAAAACCCATTCTGCTCTTGCCACTGCAGCTATTCGCCATTCTGTATTTTGTTAAAGGTCACCTTGGGCGTTGTAGTCTAGATGCTCCAGTGGTTTGGCAATCTGGTGATAGCAATGCCTGTTGGCCTGCCTGTTGTCGCCCAGATAGGTGGGGTGAGAGAGTGGGGGGGGAATTGGGGGTGGTGGGACAGCTGGAGCCACTTGTGATAGAAGGGTTTGATGGGAAAACATCACCTCCAAACCCTACCACCCCGAACCTGCTAATCATCCATCAACAGGAGGAAATGACACACAAAATCACACGTTAGCATTTTACAGTAAGGGGCACTTAAACAGAGTGAGGATAAACAAGTTTCACCCACTCCTCCTTCCTCATTCCTCCGCTCGTGGGGAACACACTGGTGTCAATACAGCTTAAAGAAGTCCTGCCGATGCTACATCTGTCCCCGCCAATTGTTAACAGTGTGGATCCATTCCTGCTCCGACTGAAGATGCCCGCATTTGTTTACTTGCTCGGTCGCCTGTTTGTGCACACCTGCCAGCCCGTGGCAGGGAAAGAAATGAGTGTTTGTGAGCGATAAGACCTGTAGGAGAGGAAGAGGAGGACGAAGAACAGAGAAAAGTGGTAGAAGGAGAGTGACAGAGAGAATCGTCATTGATCACATCTGTTCAGAGAAGGATTGATCCTGTGGTGTGGTCTACCCTGGGATCTTAACACACACACATAAGCACAGATAAGAGAATCGCTCATAAGCTTAGACAGTAAATCAGGATGTTAGATTTTAACAGACTATTAATATTTAAGGGGAGTTGTACAGAGGACGGCACAAGGAAAACAGAATATGATCTCCTCTTTCAAAGTGTTTACATTATTCCTCCACTCTTGAATTAAGCCTGTGAAAAAGACACCTGGCATATAAAGAGACAGATAGATAAATCTCCATTGTGTCGTCCTGTCTCGCACATGCTCAGTAGCTCCCTAGATGAGCGCGGAGTCCGCCAGGCAGACGCAAACAAGACGAATCATTCCCAGGGGGGCATTTATTTCTGTTGCACAGCACAAACCCCTCATCTCTGGTCCTAACAATCTGCCTTTTGAGACTATAACACTGGAATAAAAGAGACAGCTCAGCAGAAGAAGAGGACACGAGGAAAAAGAGGGAAGGAAATGATAAAGGGGAAGACAGATGAAGACTTCCTGAATGCTTAATAAATCCTCCACTGTACACAGGGTTACAGCATGCGACACACAACCCAACTTTGATCATATTAAGTGGATGAATTATTTGATTTTCAACACGGGCAGACGACACATTCAGCTTGTTTGTTCAGATAAGGGAGCGTGGTGATGTCGTTAAGTGCCAGTTGTTCTGTGAGGGAAAAACAGATAACCAAGTGGTGGCGTCTGTGACCCCCCCCCACCTCTACTTTGGTCTCTTATTCCTCTCTCTGCAGCTGACTGCACGTAAATCTCAGGTCTGGCTGGAGCTGGACAGCTCTCTCTACCAGGCGACACAACATCCCACTTCCCTCCATCCATCCATCTCCACTCGGCCCACACAGCCTCTCCCTGCCTTCATTTCTCCCGGCGCTGAATTCCTCTCGGACCGCCGGGCCTGTCTCGGGTGCGATGTATCTGTCTCACTTCCTATTTATTCAACATGTTCTCTCTCTCAAAAACACACAAACACACACACACAAACATACCACAACCATTTTCACGCTGCCTTTCCTCTTCCATAATTGTCTTTTTCTTCCTTCCTCAGTCTTACCCGTTTCTCTACTCTTCTCAATCTCTTTTTTCCCCTCCGTCAACAGAACGCTATCTGCGTGTTTGTGTAGCTTTTGTTGCACAGCTCACTGCAATACAAAAGCCTTTGTTGGCCTGCCACCACTCTGATGTGGTGAGACGGAGATGCACAAGGACAAACTTGAGCTCCGTGGAGCCAGCTTTCAGGAAGTCACCGTTCATTCCAAGATAACGGCTCAACCTGAAGGCTGGAGCAGTTGGTGGGGTTTGAGCCAGACACACATGTAAACACTTGTCTGCGTGGTCGACTGTGTTGATCTGCTAAGGCTGTATGAGTTTGGTGAATAAACCGTCCCATGTCGGTGCAATGCTTAGTGTTTCCATCAGTGAAATGGCTTGCATGTGTTCCTCAGTGGGAGTTATTGCTGGCTGCAGGGCAGTGGCAGCTGTTGTGAGGGGCTGAGCTAGCTAGGCTAATAATAACCCTGGGTTAGGGTTAGTGAGTGCCCACGGGCCCCCACATCATCTTGGGTTGACCCCCCCCCTCCTCGGAGTCCAGTTGCAGCGGAGAGTGAGGGTCAGGCCAGGTCGTGGATAAGAGAACGCTATTTCACCCTTGTAAGGACACAGGCAGGTGTACAGGAATACTACACACTCAGTGGTTAACGTCCGGGGGGGCGTAACACCCTAAATGCAGCACTTTGGAAGCCTGTGGAAAACACGCGTTGTTGCCTTAGTGTTTGTGCATGTTTAGCAAAGCCAGAATTTCCTTAATATCCTCCTGGGCTGAGGATAAATTAACAAAAAGCATACAGACAAGCACAAAGATGTCGCAAAATGGCTGAATAACATGTTAGATCAATGCCATCGCCCCCACACGCCATCAGGCAGATCTTTCACAATAGACAAGGAATCCACATAAAAAAAAACTCGGAAATCCTCTCAACTGAAAATAATAATGTGGCTTTATCTGTGATAGATACTATCTGCTGTAGGGAAGTAGAGCATGATGTTATAACCTGTGCTCTATGACTGGAGGAAATACTCTGAATGGGAAGCAATTTATTTCCTTGTGTATGTTGGGGCACCCGCAGTCACAAAATGATCAATTTCTCATTATGACTAAGGGAAAAAAAAGGTTAGAATATGATGATCAGGACAATTTCTCCTCTATGCTACATTTGCTTTTGAGGCCTTTTTTTTTTTTTCATGTCCGAGCACGGGGCGAGATCAGGGAGAAATTCAAGTAATGTCATGCTTGGTCTTTCCGGCCTGTAGGTCTGGACCAGTCAAGCGTTGATGCCTTTGATAGGCCAAATAACCTCATTGGCTGCCTCCATTCCTGTTCATTTCACAGTTCACTCTATTACTTGCATGAGCAATTACTTGGTGTTGTTGTTTGGTATTGTTTGCAATTATTATGTGTGTGTGTGTGTGTCTGTGTGCGTGTGTGTGTGTGCTTATGCCTCGTCCCTGTGTGTGCGTGCAGCTCTCGACTGGAGACCATATTTCCCAATGTTCCTTTCCAGACTCTTCTTCCTTTCTTAATGAGCTACAGTGGGTTACGAAGAGGTCGAAACGGACACCATTTAGCATTTAATGCCCATTAGCGCCTGTGATGTGACCTAATTGAGTCAAAGCAATCAGAACCTGGCCCTTTATGTATGAAGAAGTGAAGGGAACTCTGGGCAATTTCTGTACGTCATGACTTGTGTGACATTGAATGCTGGCTTGAAGCGAAAAGCTACGATGAAGAGATGGACAGCTGTGAGTAAAATGTCCGAAGAGCGAGAGAGAAGAAAAATGTTCACCATGTTTCACTTTGTCCTTTTTTTCCTAGCTGTCCTCTGTATCTCCAAGCTCCGCTTCCTTAGCTGGTACGCTGCTAGCCTGTGGCTCAGTAAAAATTGGACAGGTGAAGCGGGACAGCGGGGCGCCACTGATACAGTTCGACAGAACCGCAGGCTGTGCAGAGTTCGATCAGCTCATCAGGTGAGAAGAGAGAGACTTCACCCCCCCCTTAAAAGTAGTTCATGTGCCTGTACCACTGCTATATTTGTTTTATTATGCAGCTGCCCTTACTAAGATGAGATATGTGTTTTGTGTTGAGAAGGGACCACACTGCACCTCCTTTTCGTCTTTCACTGCACAGATCAAGCAGCAGGCAGAGTGCAGCACGGCCGGGTTCAGCAGTGTGGAACAGCTATTCAGTAACTTTCTTTTCAAGATGTGCTGAGGTTGAAATATGAGCATTATGAACCTGTCTTCTGGTTGAGAATAGATTCCTCCGCAGGCCTGTAAAGTTGCTTTTGCCGGAGACATGACTTACAATAAGAGACGGTGCAAGTGTCCTTGTGAGTGTCAGAAATCAATTACGCTATGTTTCCCCTGTGGCTCGCAGCGTTGTATATGTATATGCCCAAATGTGTGTGTTTGTGTGTGTGTGTGTGTGTGAGAGGTGTATGGTTGCTAAGACTTTCATCGTGTCTAGGAAGACATTTCCACTGTGACTTAAATGCAGTAGAGAGGATAGTGGGAGAGAACACAAAGTCTGTTACTGACTGATCTGATACAAAAAAAGTATGTGTGTTGTCATACACAGGCACAAACAAAGCCACATAAACATCAAGATACACTCCCAAAACTTTAAGATCACTGTGGGGTTTTTGAGTTCAAAGGATGTTAACAGAACGCGTGTGTATGAATGTGTGTTTGTCTGGAGGAATGCTGTCGGCCGTCATTCCTGTGTGTCGTTCCCTGCGCGTTTAGACAGGCTCTGTCTCCAGCAGGGTTTGTGACAGAATGGGTACAGTGGTACAGTACAATACAAAACAGCAGAGTACAGCCGGACAAAACACAGTGCAGATCTACAACATGGACTTTTACGCACTGACACAGGACAAACAGGCCTGCGTCACCAAAATCTCACTGAACTTCTTTTTTTGTACCTCTCAAGCTGCATTAGCACCTTTTTCAATTCAAAGCTTAGTAGTGTAGATGTAACAGCTTCCAAAAAAATAACAATACATGGATAATATATCAAACATACTGATAAATTCAATAAGGCAAATTTGTTCTGTTGAGTTTGTATTGCTTTTAACAAGTTATAGTGATAAATGCACAAATACAGGCAGACACCTCACGACGTGCTGTTATGAATTTAATAAGGGTTTAAAAGGATATGGTAGAGAGCAGAGGGGGTAGAAACGTAGGAGGAGAGGGTTTGAGCAGACGAAGGAGGGTTGCGTCTCAGTGGGATAAGAAAGAAAAACAGAAAGAAAAAGGGAACAAATGGAGTGAAGCTGTTGATTAGGGGACGGCCCGGATAAAGACAGGGATAAGATAAGAGTTCTATTTAGAGGTGGTGGGCAGATGAAGAAGAGGTAAAGTCCAGAGTCTGTGCAACGTCAGGGTGACACCCCCCCCACCTCCCCCTCAACTGATCATGCAGGACTCGTAGGTGGGCACCATGTATTTGATGTTTATGAAGGCGTCCTCTCCTCCGTAGCGCTCAAACACCTCCAGAGTCTCCTGGATCAGGTCACCGATGTTCTCTCTCTTCTGCTGACTGTAGTCGATGCCGTCTCCAGAGTTGACTAGAGGAGGGGAAACAAGAGACAGACAGACAGACAGACAGAGTGAGACACCCCAAAAAGAATCCCAAAGATAACTTTTAGCTCAGTCTGGGTCATCATAGACTGTGAGGCTGGCGTCAGGGCTCACGAAGCACCACCTGTGGCCACGCCGCACCACTATGCTGCCGACCAATACGGCAAATGCCATCCTTCCATCTGACTTCAAACCCAACGGACAGACTGAATTTAATTTACTCCTCTCAGCTGGGACTGAACGGCAGAGGAGTTTTTAACTGTTCAGCTGAAAGTTTAATGAGGCAGCCTGCAGAGAGGAGAGCGGCGTAAAGGACATCTGAGTTAGTGACGGCTCTGCTGTTGCACAACGCCGCGTTGACGCACACGAGGCATGTGCACTGACCTGAAGTCCACAGGTAGGAATGAACGTTGGGTGTGTAGATTTGCGCTGGAATCAAAAATGTGTTTGTGTGCATGTGTGGTAAATGACAAATTGACTCAGAGAGCGCAATACACTTGCGGCAAATCACAAGAAAGCAGGAAAGTTGCAGAAGCCCCCCCCCCCGGGATGCACACACACACACACACACACACACACACACACACACACCTAGACAGTGCAGTAAAACACACACAATTGTACAACAAAGCTCTAGTTAGCTGGGGGAACTTGTTATCGAGAAAACATTCCTGAAGTGTCCAGCCTCCACTCTTTCCTTCTTCCTCCCTTTCACAAGCAGGCACACTTAAACACATACACACACACACGCGCACACACACACACACACACACACACACACACACACACACACACACACACACACACACACACACGGATCGTGACTTTATCAGCACACAGCAAACTGCCAATCTCATGCCACTGCACTGGGGGCTCAAAACACTTTTCAGAGGGAGGTAAATATAGAGAGGAATGAGGCACACACACACACACACACACACACACACACACACACACACACACACACACACACACACACACACAGGCTTCCACATTTGTTTGCAAAAAATGTCCTGCTCAACTAAAATATCCCAGAGAGAAGCTGTGGATTTATTTCTTGAGGCTATAAAACGAAACAAAGGAGGGCAGAGTTCATTTGAATCAAAGCGTTTTGTTGGTTGAGTGAGAAGAGAGGAAAATGAGAGAGAAAAAGAAGAAGATGAAGAGGAAGAAAGGAGAAGAGGGTATCATAGTGTACCTGTGGTGTGAAAAATTAACAGCAGCACTTTAAGGGGGACCCTTCAGCCCCTTCTTTCACTCCTAATTAGACCTGAAGAGAGAAGGACACATTAAACCTCGCTCCCACTTCTTCACTCCATTCTTTATTCTTTCTCAATCTTTTCTAATCTCTCATCTTCCTTGACAGACTCAACCTTCCCTCTCTCTCTGTCTCTCTCCTCGCCTTTCCACCCATCCATGGCCTCCTCATTAAAACACAAAGGGAGCCAGTCCCATAAAGTGGGCTGTTAAGCAGTAACACGTCTATGATCTCAGTCTGCTGCACTTGCTTTCTGCTCAGGATCTGCTCTCCTGTTTTACATGAAAGCGGCGCGCGGGGGGGGGATTCTCCAGCCGCGTTTTGACCGTTGGTTAGCCTAGATGCAGTGCAACTTTAACAGCTCTGGCTTTATTTAGCAGCTATTTACTGTTTTTTCCTTTTAGAGAAACAACAGCAATAACACACACACACACGCTCAGGAATTCAGCTTTTAAGAACAAGCTCTCGTTCTGTATCTTAACCCAGGCTGCGTTTTTATTCCTGAGCTACCCACAACACAGGCGTCTGCACCCTACTAGTTAGCAAAATCTTAAATAGCATCTAAAACGCAGCCATATGAGCAATAAAAGGAAAAAAAGGCAAAGCAATCAGGGAGGAATGGGGACCGCTGTATGCTGAGTGTAGTTGGAGCGGGAGAGTGGTGAAAAGTAAAGAATAAAGTGACAGGAGTCAGCCGGGTCACTCTTACAGTCTGTTTCAGCTGTGTGGTGTGTGTGTGTGTGTGTGTGTGTGTGTGTGTGTGTGTGTGTGTGCGTACATGTTGTTGTAGGTTAAAAAAGCCAGGCCCGCAGAGAGCCACCCCCTGTTAGAGTGAAAATGAGCAGCCAAAGCCAACCCAGAGGGAGAGCTTGGCCTTCAGACTGGAGAACACGGGGAGCCGGGGAAGAGGCGCGGCTTGGGAACCAGCAGAGCTCAGACCCGTTTACTGGGGCCTGGAGGGGGGAGCAAGGAGGTCCTGCAAGGGGGGAATTGTTGCTGTTGCTAGACTGAGCATTTCAGCCCTCTCCAAGTGCATTTCCTTTGCTGAGCTGTTGGGAGGCCGGTAGCATCAAAAGAAAGAGGCCGGAGGAATTTGCAACGATTCTCAATATTTAAAGAGCAGAAAAGGGAGAAGTGTGTTTAAGGAGGGATGCAGGGAAAGGAAGGGGGGGAGGTGGAGTTGGGAGGGGGGGCGGGGGGGTGAGGGTGTTAAAAGCTGCCTCTGCAAATGTCCTTCAGCAAAATAACTTCTCTTTCTCGCTCTTCTTCTTCTCTCCCCTCCCTGTCTTTTTTTTCTCTCTCTCTCTTTCTGCTTTCAGCAATATCCGCAACCCTGGGCAGACAGAGAGAGAGAGAGCGAGAGAGAGAGAGAGAGAGAGAGAGAGAAAAAAAATCTTTAAAAACAATCATAATAAAAACTCCCGCCCTGTGAACAGAAGGAAAGGGGCCCTGGCAGGAGTTGGCTGTCTGTTCCTCTGAGGAAGAGGAAGGGTCGATACAGACGCAGACAGAGGAGGATTCTCGGTGCAGCGACATTTGCTGCACAGAAGGTGGAGGAAGAAAAAGGAAGGTGGCACAGAAGAGGTGCTTTGTTTCTGCCTTTCAAGCTAAATCCCTGGGATTGGAGGGGTCTAGAGCACAGAGACCAGATCTATCTATCTATCTATCTATCTATCTATCTATCTATCTATCTATCTATCTATCTATCTATCTATCTATAAAGCAACAGGGGCTGTGGCTCTCTCTCGGGATCTGCTGTAATTTCTGCCAAGCCACACAAGACCAACACTAAACTACACACAACAACAGCTGCAGCCTTCCTCTTCCTCCCTCCACCCTGCTCTTTCTCCATCCCTCATTCCCCACGGTCCTAAACAACCTGTCTTCCCACATCAAGCTGAAGACAAGCAGTCACAGATGCAGGCAGCGCTCGGCGTTTCCTCCAAACTAATTTCAAATATATAGGCAATAGATTTTAAGGGGATACTTACAGTTGGCAACTCAAGCCAGATGGGTGATTATCACACTGTAACAGAGCTGTGCTGTAACCCCCATCTTAAAAATTCTGACTGAGGTTGGCATGCATTATGTGCATGTTGTATGGTTATAATCCCCTCCCCCGCCCGGGACCGGGTGACACACACACTGCAGCAGCTTTGGGAAGTTTAGCTCAAAATTCCAGAGCTGATTCAACGTAATATCAACCCACCTTCCATTGTTTCTAATCAACTTACCACTGATTGTGGAAGTTCCTTATGAAAGCAGCTTAAACACAAGGCCCCCCAACACAATAGCGCTTTGATCACAGCAGCCAGATGCAGAGGAGAATCAATGCATGTGAGAGATGGGCTTTTTTTCCTTTTTTTTTTAAAGGGCTTTGGCCTTGCTTAAAAAGGGAAATGGAGGAATGCAGGTTATGAGCACGATGGAGCAACTCGAGTTCCAGGAATACTTTCTGCAGAAGTTGGCCATAGCTGCACAGCTGAGGTGTTATATGAATGCATGTGTTTTCATTCTTTCCTATCACCAACCATGCACTGATAACCATCCATCCCCCAACATTTTTTCAGGGCTCTATATCAGTATAAGAATATAAAGAAAACTTTGAGCTATATGTCAACAATCCTATTCTTGAAAGTGATATAGATTGAGTTATTATTACCATCAATCTTAATCATAAAAGTATATGTAGATCATTTTTCTTCTGTGTCAGCTGAGGGTATAAAAGCATAGTTTTTAAACGTTTTTTCTCAATGTGCAAATTTATTTCACTTATTTCAAGTATCATTTTTGTTTTGATGAATGATGAAAATATTAGACTTCATAGTCTGCTTGAAAATGGTCAATAAATAACTACATGAAGACATACAGCCTGAACTATTCAGGGTCATGTTCATACATTTTTGCTCACATTCAGACTTTTGAAATAATTAAAATTCCAACTTAAGTTGAGGAGCAAAAATCTGATATGAAGTGGTGCCTTGAAAATATATCTGATATGGATTTTAGTGGTTATGTATTGCATTCTAATTTTGATCTACAGTAAACACAGTCTAGATATATGTGGAGACTGAGTGAACCAGGCCACAAAGACAGGGAGAGGGAGAGGAGCTTAATGGTGGTGAGTGTGAGGCAGAGGGTGTGTGGGTGTGAGGAGGTGGGAGGGAGTGGATGGGACCACTGGAGGAGGCCTGGGCTTAGCAGCAGGGCTCTAATTAAAAGGGCCTCACAGTTGGGCGCCAGGCAGGCCTCTCATAAAGAGACACACTCTGGCAGAGAGGTGGGAGAGACCAGGTGTGTGTGTGTGTGTGAGAAAGACAGAGGGGGGGAGAGAGGGTGTTTATATGTGTGTGTGTGTGTGCCTAACCACAGGTGTCTGCGAAGGAAAGGCAGCAAGACAGAGTGGAAGGGAATATCCTGGCAGCGTGTGTGTATGTATGTCCATGTAGAGGTTATTATGTGTGTTTGTGGGTGTTCACACAGACACATACACATGGAAACAGAATAAGTATGCTTGTATACAATGTGACAAGGACAGAAAGAGTGAGAGAGCAAGTGGACAAAGAGAGACAGGGGGTGATGCCTGTACGACCAGTGGTGGAAGTAACAATATAAGAAAAGGTGAAACTAAAAAATAATGTTTATATATATATATATTTAAAAAGTACAAAAGCATTAACAGACAGAAAGTTGCCCTAATTCAGAAGAACATCCACTTCAAGAGTTTTG